TGAACTAAATTTACAGAGAGGTCCGTTGGAGTCGTAAACTCGACATCCATCTCCTCTGGAGACTCGCTCCTGGACTAGATTTACAGAGAAGTCCGTTGGAGTCGTAAATTCGACATCCATCTCCTCTGTAGACTCGCTCCTGAACTAAATTTACAGGAAGGTCAGTTGGAGTCGTAAACTCGACATACATCTCCTCTGTAGACTCGCTCCTGGATTAAATTTTAAAGGAAGATCAGTTGGGGACGTAAACTCGACATCCATCTCCTCTGTAGACTCGTCGTCAGAAAAATTTTTAAGTTAACTCTGCCCATGAAGGTCGCACTAGTAGGTAGGGAAAGAACGTCAATCACGGCAGAGCCCCGCATGACCGTGACAAGGCGATGCTACGACGAGAGGGGGCCCGGTATCGCGAATGTTTCGTAGAGACAGCTGATAGGCTCAGTGTCATTCATCCTCTCGGCACGGATACACACACCTTAGAATTAAGCTATCGTTGGGTTGCCATTCAGGATGCCCCGTATCCAGCGGGGCTACGTGGAAGCAGGCATCCGATGGCCGGTTTGCTCAACCCCCACATCCCAAGCCAATGCAATCGCCGAAAGCAGCATGCACAGTGGCTTAGGCAGTGGAAGATGAACTAGGACAGCCAACCCGCCCGTCAATAGGACTACCCGAAGAACTCAATATCTAATATCTATAAATATTGTACATCTAATATGATTGTAATGTGATTCATATTGTACCACAACGCTACCAACCTTTGTAGTTGATGTGGTTATATTAATTGAAAAAAAAACTTAGATTCATATTTTTGACAAAATTATGGTTAGGTGATCTTTTTATTATTTTCGATATATTTTTCCCGTGTTGATATAGGAATCGAAGTCAAAATAGAAGATTTGAGGAAATCTGGAAAATCTAAAAAAAAAAGATTATACCTATAGCGTAGGGTTTTTCCTACAACTATTTAGTTTAGAAACATTTCATTTCTTTTATGATTTTTATTTTTTGTATTATAAATTCTTGTTAGGAAAATAACTTTTCATAACTCTATTATCGAGCAGTCGTACAGAATATCCATCTGCTTGGGTTTTTTTATGTGAATCCTTTTCTTTTTATTTTTACTCAGCATGTTTGTATTTTTTCATGGCAAATCATTGAAATACTGTATTCTCACCAATCCAACGGTTATTGCCGAAAAACATATGGATCACGACATCAGTGTTTCAGGGTTTCATTGAGATAATCAATGTTACGCGTTATTCACATTGAATTATTACACATTTTTATCCACAGAAAATGAAGACCATACAGNATCTTCAATATCAAGTCTTTAGAAAAATAAACATACTTGATAGTTTCAAATTAAACGGTGATAAGATAAAAGGGTGAATTATATTACTGGAGATTGATTTCGACAGCAAGCATTCATTTGGACACACTGATATACAATGTATATCACTATGGTATATTGAAAAATGAACTGGTGATATATGGAATCCCCTTACTTAATTTAATATATCTGAAATCTCTTCAGAACTGACGACCTAAATATATTCATTTCCAAAGAAATGAACATTTTTAAATAATTAATAGAATTAAATCCAAAACAAGCCATACTCACAAACACCAGAACAACAGCGGGTAGAATGTAGCAGTCTACTTCATCTCCTGAAGACGCGCGTCGAGAAGAGTGTTGCAATTCTGGTGTTTGTGAACAATACTTGTTTTGGATTTATTCTACCCAAAAGGTTTCACTTCTACCTTAGTTACAGAAATCTATTCAAAACTGTTCATGAGTTTTTTAAATTTTCATGAAACATCAATGAAGACAGTGATTAAGACGGTAATTTACATAATAAGATAAGGTTATACTAATAATTTTGAGAGTAATAGTTCATGGATACGGTGTGACTCGACAACAAAAAGTAAATATAAAATTTTGTTTTCGGCGAAAACAATAAGCAATTGGGTTAGAGAAATAGTGCAGACATTAGTTGGGAATTACTGCATATGTTAAAAAATTGTGCTTCTAACTTTCTGAATATCATTATCGCGGTGAGAAATACATATGAATATATGGACTCGATGTTGGAAGATACAGCTTCGTTTCTATTAAGGTTGGACGTTGTGCAGGAAAAAACTACACCCTCCCTATATTACTGTTTGTGGAAATATTTCTAATTTGGATCTTGAAACAACATAGCACAAACTGAAGTAAATTGATACATACATATTGGAAGACAGCTATACTGATTACTAACTACATATAATTCCAATCTACAAGAAAAAAATAGCAATTAATTTATATGGAAAATAGCCTATTTGCCATTAGAAATAATGAACAATCAAAGTAATGCTCAATGTATTAATGGAACGTTATAAAATTTGAAAAAAAACAACAATCATCTATGATTTCTTCTTTTTAACAATTTTTTCACATCATCGGATGAAATGGTTATGAGCCAAGTTTTCAAAGCTCTCTTGAATTTATATATTTTTTTTCTGATTGATTCGGACGTTACTTGATGAAAATCCATAGTAATTTCAAAAACTACCCCTCACGATTGATTAAGTCATATGGTTTAATTATGGGAAATCCATTAAGCCCCTTGACGAAATTTTCATGAATAATCTAGAGAAATCGATCTTTAAACATCCTTGGATTAAGAATTTCTTGTATTGGCATAGATATATGGATGACATTTTGATATGTTTTTCATAGGGATAGTAACAAAATTCATGAAAACATCAAATTCACTATCGAAATAGCAGACAATTCAATCAATTTCTTGGACATAACAATCAGTAGAAGGAACAACAAACATGATTTTTCAATTTATCACAGACCGTTCTATACGAATATTACTATACATTACGATTCTACTCATCCTTATCAACACAAAGTAGCAGCTTATAATAGCATGATTCACAGATTAGTCAATGTTCCTCTTTCAATAGATAATTTCAATAAATAACTTAAATCATCAAGCAAATTGCGGTTAACAGTGGGTTTAAAGCCGAATTAATTCACAAAATACTTGCTAAGAAAGTCTACGCAAGAACGATTCGAGACGTTTTTTCTATTGATAAGGTAGACAATCAAAATTATAGAGCTTTAACGAATTTTGGACAACCAACGGAAAAAGTGGCTTCATTTTTGAGGAAACGAGATATCAAAATTGCATATAGAACAATTAATACGTTGGAAAAGTTAGTTAAAATAATAAAGACAAGACATCCAAATCTTCGTTTGATTCCTGAACAAGCTTTATTTTGAAAGAATGGAATTTGTAAGCCTTCAAAATTCGACAAACACTAGTAGATGATACACCAGACGCTTTAACTACTTGTCTGATTATGAATTATCCATTTGTACATGTACTAAAACTGCAACTTCAACGTCATTTCTGACAGGACGGGATACTTCAAGTTTTCTTTCGTGAACAGAACCTGAAGTGCGAAACTTATCCATTAGGGGAGAGTAGTGATACTTGATCCCCACTTTTGATTTTTCTGTATATCTAGAGCTATTTTAGTACATTTGAGATTCGGTTCGACTCACTTCATGTCATGATTCAATACCTTCCATTTGGCACCAATGAATAGTCAATATCTTTCAGGATGAATGTAACAAGTTGGGTTTACTAGAAATACTACAGTATACAAGTATCCCCCTATGGGGGATACTTGATTCCCTGGAGGGGGATGCTTGATCCCAGGGATTTTATGCATTTAGAAGGAATTAGTAGTGCTGAATTGAAACGAAACATTAAGTTCCAACTGACCTCTTTAATGAAAAGGTATCGAACATAAGTCTAATGAACATATTAAGTAAAATTAAAAGTACATTTAGGTACAAATATAAAATGAAACTATTTTTCGTCAAAAAGTATTAGAATTTAGCGTTTGTTTGACTCCACTTCAAGGTAAAAATTATTATTAGCAGCTTAATACACATTGCTATCGAATTTGTAGTAAAATTAAATAATACGAGAAATCCCTTCTGGGGGATGAACATGGGGTTTGGGCAGCTTTTGTATGTCCTCCATGTCGACTTCACTAATGTCATCAACTTCAGGGTATACAAAGCAGTTGCTTGCCCGGCTTTTTTGCCTCAAAAATTTTATTTTAACAGTGTCACCTTGAACATCTTCCACCAAGCCAGTGTAAAACTTAACAACTTTTTTCGTGGCGAATTTGACTAACACGTAATCGTTAGGCTCTATCGCGCTACCATCTATTTCATCGTCTGAAACGTAGTCAGAGCAGCCGCTGGTGTCATCAAGGGAAGGAAGTTCATCTTCTTCATCAGTTGACTCAAGGACTTCTCTATTTTCATTGGGTTTCTTAACACTCCGTACATTCCTCTGCTTCAGACCTTTGTCTTTCCCCAGAAGACCAGTCTCTTCTTCCAATAACTTATTTCGAACATTTTCAAGTCTGTCTGTTTTATTTTTCTCCTTTATCTTAAGAGTGTCTTCTTTTTTGCGAGCTGTCTCTTCAATTTCTAATTTTTCTGGAGTATCAGTCAAAATACGTGTGTGCCCCCGTTTTCTTCCACGAGATGATAGTGCACGAGGTGGTGCCTTTGGATATGGCATTATGTCACGAGGCGATGTATAGGAGGTAAAAGGCTGGTCTTCTCCTGGCTTGGGCATGGTGGAGGTCTGCTGTTCTTCTACAGGTAGGGAAAGCGAGAGATCGGAGTTGGAGGGCTGTCGATCTTCTTCTGGTTCGGGCGTAGAAAATGCGCGTTGCGGTACAGTCGTTGGCGATTCGGGCTCTGATAATGTTATATTCGCATCTTGCTCCTCCATCAAAGTTGGGTCCGGTCGGTCAGTAACAGTCAGTAACGGTCAGTTAAAAACTCATCGTCACTGAAGATATCTTCATTGAACGGAGATATTCCCGATACTCTGAATCCACTTAACACATTGTTTGGTGCCATGCCACGAGGTTATGCATATGATAAAAGTTCGGCAATTTCGTATATTGTTATGGTTTTGCCAGGATTATTTAACATGTTGTTGGATGATGCATCAGAGTAATATGCCTTTAGTGGGCCGTAAACGGTTCTATCCAAAGGTTGGAGTTTGTGTGACGTGTGAGGTGGGATCGTCAGAAGAATAATGCCTTATTCCTTGCAATAATTCAGAGCATGCAATGAGCAGTGGCTTTCGTGGTTGTCTAAAACGATGAGATGCTTTCTTTCCTGATTCGGATTTGCAAAACGGACAAAATGTTCTAAAAACTTCAGGAAGACGTCGTTTGTCATCCAACCAGTTGTATAAGCAGCTCCATCGCTACCTGGAGGTGCACCTTTTAAAAATTTGTCCTGCCAATTTTTCCTGGAAAAAATACGGAATGGGGGACTGTGACCACCGGCAGCATTTATGGCAGCGCAGACTGTTATAAGTTCACCGCGTTACGCCGACGTTATTTTGCCGACTTGCTTAGAGCCTTTAGCTGCTATAATTTTGGACGGTTTATGAACCGTAGTCAACCCCGACTCATCAATATTCCAGATGTGCTCAGGTGTAAAATTAAATCTGTGAAACACATCTTTCACTTTTCCGAAAAATTCCCCTACAGTGGTTCTATTAAACGCTGTACTACTCAGTGATAAAGAACCGTTCCTCGCTATAAAGCCCCTGTACCAGTCTCGTCCTGCTTGGTGATTTTTATCCCAAGATTCAGGATATTTTAACTGATTTCTGTTCTACACATCCATGTATAGAGTTACTTATTTTGAAATTGATTACTTCCTTCCTTTCCTTGGAAGATTCCCTCGTCCTTGTTTTTTGTATCAAGATGGAGTAGTAGAAAGCCAAAAACTTTCTTTCCCAAAAATTAATCACTCCTAAAAATATAACCCCTTCAATTCAAATTCGTAGGTAGTTCTTAATAAAAGTAGGAAACAAATAAAAGCATTGTGTGATACTTAATTCCAGGATCAAGTATCACCATGCACTGAGGGATCAAGTATCACACTTTTACCATAATTATTAAAATAATTTTCATGATGCCGTGCACTTTTGTTGTTGTTGTAAGGATACGCCGTTTTAAATAGCCAGTAACACATATACTTCAATAAAATAATCTGATTCCTAAATAGATACAGATCGGGAAAGTGTCATGATTCACCGTGAAGTTGAAAAAAAAAGTCGAAGTCCTCAATTTAGACAAAAGTATATTTTTTCCACATTAATCTTAAGCATCAGCCAAAAGGAAAAGTTAGTAAATAAACATGGCCGCCACCCAGTGATACTACCAAAACAACGAAAAAAGCTCCACAGGCGCGAAAATTGAATGGGGATCAAGTATTCCCCAGGATCAAGTATCACTACTCTCCCCTAACTGTTTAACGTATTGGTGGCTGACGTTGTGGTCTGGATGATTCATATTATTAATTCTTGCAGCAGCTTTAGCACATTTATTATTTTGATAATAGGTGGCAACAATTTCTATTCTTTCTTCAGTAGAATAAACACAGTGAACAAGGATGACTGAATAATAATTCGTGAAGAAATGACAGTGGCGAACTATCTACTATCTAACAGTGTCGTCCATTTCAAAACGTTTACTAAAAATGAACCAATTTCGAAAAAAATTACAGAAGTGATAGAGGGACAAAATAGGGGGGTAGTTGCTAACCGCAGGGGGGCGAAGTCCCGGGTATGATTTTCATATCAGATTCAGTCCCCCTAGAAATAAAAATTGACGCACTCTTTGAAATTTTGGATTAAACATTCGTTTCTGAGTTACAGGGGGGTCAAGTTTTCCTTGGAACGCCCTGTATGTCTGATCAGTGGTGCTAAACTATGAATGCGTTGGTAGACTCACCTGTTATAAAACACATATATGAAAAGACAATAACTTCCTCACTTCACAACGATGCCATGGGATCAACGAACATGAAAAATAACCCCTCCCAAAGTCAGCCAGCTGCAAAACCAAGCTTGGATATCTAGCGTTAAATGAGATTTTCGTAAGGCTTGTCAGTTTTACCATTTAGGACAGTTGAATACAGAAATGCGTTCTTGGTACCTCTGATGAAACCCATGGCGAGTCGAAACAACGCTGTGTATGGTTCTGAATGATGAATGTTTTGTTTGTGGGGTCTGGTTTTAACTAGTTGCTGTGCAGTGAAAGACGTCAATCAATGTCAAAGCTCGTTGATTTTTCATATTGGTGAATTGAGTTTTTGTCAATTTTGTAGATGTCGTCATTGTAATGAACAAATTGAGGGAAAAATAATCAAATTGGGTGTCCCACAGGGTTCTATGATGTCCCCACTACTCATTTTTTATGAATGATATGATGAAATTCATGTCCAAGTGCACAAAATATACGTGTGTTAGCGATACCAACTTTGTTAAAAACAAAATACGGTACTAATAGCCAATACACTGTAGCGAATTGATTATATGATTAGTGTGCTAACAATGGACTATTGGTAAATTTCGAAAAAAACGAATTTCATCAAGTTTCTAACAAAAAATTTAGTTGATAAAGGAGAGTAAATCATAGCAACATTGACCAGATTGGTTTTATTCGGTTTTTGGAAGTTACAATAGATGATGAAATCACATAGAAAATTCTTATGAATTCAACAACTCCTGTATAAAGTAGAATCTGTTTATGATAAGGCAACTGAAAACACTGTATCAGTTGAAACCCTCAAATTGGCCTACTATGAATTGGTTCAATTAACTCTAAGTTAAAGCCTAATATTCTGCTGATTCAGATATTCAAAATACAAAAATAATCATCAGAAGCATAGTGGGAGTCAAGCCCAATGCATCTTGTCAATCAATTTTCCAAAATATAGGTATTCTATCAGTTGATTCCTCTAGACATATTATAAAATNCATTGAATGGGCTCCTCTTTCCCCTGATCTGCAATACTGGGTAGAAGTCGTCGAATTGAATGCCGGACATTTTGTACCCCCTTGCGGAAAGGCTTCCAATTCCACTGTAAACAATCCTACAAATCAAACTTTTTTTAATTTTACACATGCTTATCCTGATTACAATTACTACATTGTTATTTCAACTAGTATTAGAAACATCCCAATCAGCAGTGACGTTAAATACACCATCACTCCAGCTGCAGGTAAATACATAATGGTTCATTTCTTTTCCACAAGCTTTTATATAACTTGTAATGTATGTATGTATATATACACGTATGAATATATATATATGAATGAATGTATATAAATATATGTATTTATGTATGTGGAGAATGGTTCATTCTCCTCATTCAATCGAATGTTATGTGAATGGGTGTTTCAAACCCAACGGCCAGACAATCGATTTTCACTGCTTATCGTCTAACCTGTGATAGATATCGCATGTTAAAAGTTAAGACCTCGTTAATCCTTAGCTCGCACAAGTTTCGACTTCTGAAGGTTCCCAGGAGGGCGACAGCTGATTAACCGAGAAACAGATTTTAATAAAACAGATTCAACAGATTGAAGTATTTATGTAAGATCATTTTTGTATGTATATATAACAAGACCCTCTCACTTCTCTTCGTTTCAGATATATAATCAATAATGATCACACATAATGAATAAAGCAACTACCCTGAACAACGCCAAGAAGATATACGGATATAATTGTTTGAAATCTACCCTGAACATAAAAATTTTTTCGACTAGCATTTTTTGTTTTTTTTTTGAAAATTTGTAAATTTGGATTATTCCTCATTGATTTGTCTGAATTACTCAGAATCTTGGGCCCAATATAACGGTTACTTGATAAAGACAGAAACAATTACGAAATTTTGAATAAAAAGTTTTTTATAAAGACGATTAGTTTGCCATTATCATATCTGAATGCAAAGTTATGTTTTCTAGAAAAGACCTTATGATCAGAAAATGTATCAACCATGTTTCGCTAAAGAGAATGAAAGTAGTTAACAAATGTTTCAACTATGTCCAACGAGGAAGAATGAAATTAGTTAATGACATAATATACTTGATTTCGTACTCAGATGTAATACTTTTTCTTGAACGAGTACTTTGCTATGTAACTTCCATTAAAAATTTGATGGCTGTCTAATAGTTGCTATCTTATATTCTCCAAAGTATTTTTTCTCCATTGAAGTGTTTGCTTTCAATTACGATATTCCTCTAAGACAGTTTTTCTCAACCTTTTCTCAACCTTGAAAAATTTTCCATGACCCCCTAAATGAAAAAACACTAATAAATTCCAGGTAATTAATTCCAGTACTACAAGTGAAAAAAAATGTTGAAAAAATAGTTTTCAGTACATATGTAGGAAAGTAGAGAATGTATGTATGTGGTTGAAAATAGCAGTAAATGGTTCAGAGATCATTCTGATATATATAAAATATCTTTATATTTACCCAAAACTTGATAAAGGGGATTCTGTGGAATTATATTTTTCACAGCTGTACTATGTCATCCAACAAGACTATTCATAGCAGCTGATACTTTTCTATGAATGCAGCAATAATTCCGGATAATAGAAGGATCCATTTTCTTTACAGGTCCCTGGAGTCCAATTCGTGTACCAGACATAGACTAGACACCATCTGTGCTAACTGGCACACATGTATCCCATATTATATTATGAGTGGGCATAAGATTGTTCAATACTCTAAATCAATTCACCTGTAATGTACGGTGGCAGAGGCAAACAGAACAATAAATCCTCAATTATGTTCTTGTTGTGTTCGTAAGGGATATATGCAAGGATATGTTCAATGATGAAATCACGAATGCATTGCTGGAGTCAACTGTCCCTAAACGACAAGCCTGAGTAAGTAGAGGAAATTACATCTCCCCTCATCTATGGGATTGTTGGTGTAGGAATACGCCCTTGTTTTTAGGCTCTGGTTCACCCAGTCGCCTTACAGTAAAAGCTGCAGGTACTCGTTTGGTGGTCGATATCGAAGTTTGACTTGATAACTGATCATCTTGGGAGACTCCTTTATCTTTCAGATATTCGTGAATTCGGAGATGTAATCACCTCTACATATTATGAATGCAAAGACCCTTTACTTTATGAAGATCAATTACACAATTTTAACAAACATTTTGATTTCTAGAGGCATTTTGCTAACACCGTAGTTTCTTCGGTAGAAATGAATATTACAAGCTGGGCTACAGTTCTTATACATAACAGTAGTAGGTAACTAATTTAAGCGGTTAATAGTGAAAGCGATCCCATGTAGAATTTGTAAACCAATTACACTCTCAGTTCTTGGACAACAGGTGAATTTTTGAATATGAATAAACTCATTGGTATGGTGAGTGATCAATCTCCTCTTAGTCGTTCAGTAGGAAACCTGAACGTTTACCCTTATTCATTTCCAGAGACACCAGCAGGTTCAACTTCTGTCTCTTAGCTTCTACATGGAATAAGTCTACATAGCTTCTACATGGTGGAATTTTGAACTTCGTGCCACCTTTTGGAGAACGATCACGATTTCAACATTATATAAATACGACATACTCCATATAGAAGCTTAGGGACAGAAGTTGAACCGGCTGGAGTTGCTGGAAATAAATAATAAGAGTAAACGTTCGAGTTTATTGCTGAACGACCAACAGGAGGTTGACCACTCACCATTCATAATTCCAAGAAGTGTATTTATATTAAAAAATTCACCTGATGTCCAAAAACTGAGAGTGTAATTTGTTTACAAAATCTATCTGGGATCGGTTTCACTATTAACCACTCAAGTTAGGTACCTACTATTGTTGTATATAACTGTAGCCCAGTGTGTCATATTCATTTCTATCAAGGAAGCTTCTATTTTAGCGAAACGCGTCTAAAATTGAAATGTTTGTTAAAATTGTCTAATCATAATCATGGATACCTCTACATATATATTCAAGCTTACGTCATTGCTAATACCGTGCTCTCAACAAATTCCGAAACATTAAATCTGCTCGCATTCAGATTCAAAATCGGTTGCGTTTCAACGTTTCTTGACATTTTAATCATTTCTCTTCTTCACTATGCTATTGGGTAACGATACCTATAACGTCCAATTCTGTTAAAAGTTTGTCTCTCGACATAGCAGAAACCACAATTTTAGCGCACAATAATATTAATTCCTCAGTAATGGTGTCGAGCAACCTTTTGTTACTAACAAGGAACTGGGTATAACGCTAAAACATACCTAACTTTCGTTATTAGCCTCACAAGCAGTCTCAATCATTGTGTTTTGCGTCGTTCTGATTCCGAGGCTCTTTTTGTGAAAAGACTTCAGATTTCTCATAAAAGCCTTGGTGTTTCGTTTTTATTCGAACGATGAACGAAATTTGGCGGGTTTCATCAAATCTTCGTAGCTTATGACACACTTAGGTCTCAAATTGGTACTCGTGAAACGGACAGCTAAGTATTCATCACAAAACTCATGACGTTTATACTTTGGAGTCGAAGGTATTTCATCAGCTTCTTCTAAATCGAAGTTATTTGGTTTTAATCAGCTTTTCTTTGTCGGAATCACTAGAAAAACGTAATTTCGTTATTTCATTCTTTCTACGCATATCCAATGCAATACAAAACTAAACATGCACACATGCACTACTCATGGGAGACCCACGGAAGCAATTATCGGGCGGGGAGTGGTGCGGTAGGGGAAAAGTCACAGCTTGCTCCCCGCTCGCACATACCAGTCACTCTCGCACTCGGTCCCCTTATTGGTGCACAGTCTCCGTGCTAAGTAATCGTATCGATTACGAGACTTTTGGTTGCATTTACTTATTATTGTTAAGATATGAGACTGCGGACCCCCATTTAAATAAACGTAGACCTCCAGAGGTCGGCGAACCACAACTTGAGAAACACTGGTCTAAGAGATGTAGCTTGTTCCTAGACTCTGATTTAAAACCTTCATTCGACCCCTGTTCGTAAGTTTAAAGTTAATTCAACAACAAAAATATCAACATTTTCACCTACATTATCTGAATTCAAATGGTATCGGTGTTGAAATTACTCATCAACTCACTTCTCAGCAAAAATCGCAGAGAAATGTACTAACTCAGTTTATTGAAAAACAAGAAAGAAATTTTAGTCTGTGTCACATTTTAATTGTAAAAATACTTTAGAGCAAACCTATATTTTGTGTTATTTGACCATCACAACGGTTCATCACCCTATAAGGTACTGCTGTACTAATAATGAAATTTCCGTTCTTTTCAGCATCTGAAGCACCCAGAAATGTTACAGTTGACGATCTACCAAATGACGATGGTTCGCCGAACATTTCGATGGTTCTAACGTGGAAAATGCCTTGTAAAACTAATGGCAGGATCCAGAGATTCGATATAGACTTGATTGGAATCTACACGCCTGACCAAACTATTAAGCATGCCGTGACAGCCAACTACTCGTTAATTCAAGATCAGGAAAATTTTGTTTATAATCAAAAAATGTTGACGGCCTCTACTAATTACACATTGAATATAAGGGCAGTAGGAGAAAATGGAGTTGAAGGAGATAGTTTTGAAATGTCATTCGTGACGAGAGATGCAAGTAAGGATATACAGGGTGTAACGAGGTATGTCATCAATTTAACCACATATTCTTGGGTCAAAAATCACTCGATTGGATATACCTTACCTCAATGCATAAATGTGCACACACAAAAGTTACAGCTCTTGGAAAGTTCAAAATGTTTCCATTTTTGAACGATCACTATCACCAGCAACTTGCGGTCGCAAAGTATCCGTCTTCCGTAAACGACGATCAATGGGAAGTAATAATCGTAATGAAAAGTGAAATGAAAATTTCTATGTCTTTTACCACTTTTATTTGTAACTAAAGTTACTGCAGTTTCGTCCTGTACGGACATTTTCAACGAAAGGACACCGCGTAACGTTTGTTACAAATAACTGTAAAGGAAACTGCAGTAACGTTAGTTACAAATAAAAGTTTCGTTTCGTTGAAAATGTCCGTATAGGACGAAACTGCAGTAACGTTAGTTACAAATAAAAGTGGTGAAAAACATAGAAATTTTCATTTCTCTTTTCATTATGATTTCCTACCACGTAGTAACGGCTACATCCATCAATTCATTGAAAGTAATAATCGTCTGTTTGGTGTATTCCCAATGGTATAACTCTTTGCTAGTGCTGCACTGTTCCCTTGACATTCACCTGTGATTACCAGAATTGCTGATAATTATCTGAAACCTTGTTTTAGCCTGATCAAACTTTCCTAGAATTAAATGCATATATGCCATTTCTGCAAAAGTAATTACTTTTGTTACAGGTGTTAAAAATAACGTTTTAGTGTTGGGACTAAACTCCAGTAATATTCATTACTACATCAAAGGTTCGAAACGGTGCATCACAAGTATATCACGAAATATTGGAAAAAATCGATTTTTATATTGTACTTTCCACGGGCTGTAACTTATTTTTTGTGCACATTTGCATTGAGGTAAGTTATATTCAATCGAGTTATTAATGAGCCTAGAATAAGTGGTTCAATTTATGACCTACCTTTTTGTTATATATTGTTGTATAATACGGTGTGGTTATCGAGTAAGGGACAAAATGATTTTATTGAACAGAATATCTGGTTTTTCAACATCTGCATTATGAAACATTTTACTGAAGATGAGTCATTGATCATATCAAGTTGAAAACTTCGAAACTGTGGATTTTTTTTGCATTATCACAAAAATGGATAACATTCGAGCACCTGTGATAGTAAAATAACTCGTCTACACAACTGCGTCGAGAACCTTCTGAACATAATAAACAGTTCGTTGGCCCTCAGATACTTTCCCAGAAGGTGGAAGCATGCGATCGTCATCATACTCCCGAAACAATGTTAGAATCCGCTGTTCCCACAGAACTATCGCCCGATTAGTCTGCTTTCGTCGGCGGCTAAACTGGCTGAAAGAGTCGTTCTGCAAAGTTTCAACGAAGAAGTTGAGGACCTAAATGTTCTGCCTAACGAATAATTCGGATTCAGGAGAGTCCACTCCACCGAGCTACAGGCTCTGAGACTGGTCGAAAATACCATTCAAGAACTAAACCACAACAGAAAAGTTCACGTTGTTCTTTTTGGATATCTCGAAGGCCTTCTACACAAACTAGACGAGTTCGACCTGTCTCGGGGACTGATCCGGTGGATCGGGTCCTTCCTGAAAGACAGAACATTTCAGGTCAGAGTAGAGGGCTCCCTGTTCGACAATAGAGATCCTCGCTGGGGCGCCACAAGAGCGGTGCTCTCTCCCACGTTATACTCGTTCTTCACCAGCGACCTCCCGAGGTCCGAGCGTGTGAAGTTGTCTCTCTACACCGATGGCACGGCTATTCTCTCATCTTCCATGGGTCGGGAGCTCGAGATCGTCTATATGCAACGTGCATTGGACGACCTCGAGCGCTGGTACCTCGAGTGGAAGATCCGAGTGAACCCAGAAAAAAAAACTCAGGCGATAACCATGGGAAGAACGATATCTTCTCCGGTTAGGAAAGTGAGGGTCTCTGGAAGGGAGATCAACTGGCAAGCGCGGGTAAAGTACCTCAGCCTTCTAATAGACTACAGGCTCATCTGAAACCCGCACATTATATCAGTTAAAACAAGGATCAAGGGCCGGATAGCTAGTCTGTACCCTCTGATCAACAGAAAATCTAAGATGAGTGTTAAAAATAAAATTACCATCTAGAACACGATGTTCAAGCCTGTCATAATGTATGCTTCAGGCGTCTGGGGACAAGCGGCTCCGACAAATATCTCCATTCTGGAGAGACTGCAAAGCAAGTTAATAAGGATGATTGTGAATGCTCCTTGGTTCGTGCGGAATGATGCCATCCGCAGAGATTTGCAGCTGCCTTCCATTTGGCAGTCCATTCAGTCGAGGATTCAGCGAGTTTTTGATTGCGTAGAAACTCATGAGAATTCGTTAGTTAGGGAAGCTATGGATTATGCTGTAGACGACCCCTCCCGATATAGAAGGTCCCAAAACTCTGTCGAATGAGGCCCTATGTCATCCGTTAAAAGATGAACAATTTTTTCATTTATCTCACCCCAGCCAGGTAGGGGTACACCGTGAAGGGCGGCACTGATGTCTGAGGACATTCATGTCGCCATCCCACCATCAGTCATGGCTCATTTGTCCCTCTGACAAATATCAGTTGAAAGGGTAAGGGAGCCAGGCTCCAACCTGAACGAAACGAGGACGACTTTCCACTCGTCTACAGTTGTTTGAAATCAAATCTAGGCAGACAGTGTTTAAATCAAATACTGGCACATTATCTTACCTAACCTAGTTATAACCTAAAAAAATCTTTTTTTCAGATACAAATATTCAAAAAATCATGCGTTTTGAATTTCATTTCAAATTCTGCTACAAATAAAATGATAATTGTCACGTGGGAACATCATATGTTCCCAAACACTGCTGAACTAATAAGGCAAAATAAGTGATGGAATTGGCCGATACTTGATAAATATCCATAAATTATTCAAGTAACACTTTATTGTGAGAATTCAATAGGATAGTTTACAAAACCGTAACACGTGTTTCGCTAGACAATAGCTTCCTCAAGCGTTTTAATGATAAGTTCTAATCCATTTGTGCTTTATATAATAACAATTTGAATCCTAAGATATTCTACCTAATGATAATTACAGAACTTTTTACAAATTTAGACATCATGAAAGAAAATTTTACTAACCCAATAAATGAACATGTAATAAACTTGTTACCAATGTTCCTATTACAAAAGAGACAAAGACGAAGGAGGGAATTCATTTCTCTACGGACATTCAGTAAATTTTCATAATTTCGTCCTCTTTCCTGGATCTATTTTCTAATGTGGAAACTGGTAATTATATAGTTTATTACATAACCATTTAACGAGGTAAAATTTCCTATTATATTGTTTTAAACAACTGGTGTTGGACCAGTCCAACTGATTGGGCTAACGTGTTGCGAAACGCGTCTTGAGTAAAGTTCATTGTGAACATTTTATAATTTTCATCATGATTACCAAAGCTTTTTTTTTTCAGTACCAAGCGCTCCAAAGGTGTTCATCGCAAACCAAGGTTCTTCATATTTGTATATCCAGTGGGGTCCGTCTGATGACATTCTTTATGGAATGATAACTCATTACGATCTTGCCGTGACACCTCTGGAACCTAAATATGGTAAATATCCAAGTGACTGTCCAACTCATAATCCTTTTTATCAGCGATTAGATGGAGCTACTACAAGTTATAACTATACGCAAGCACTGGGTTATTGGAACTACAACATTTCTGTTAGTGCGACTACTTCACAAGGAACTAGTCCGAATAGAATCGTGAGTGCTACTACCAATACGGCAGGTGAGAAGAAACTTTTTATAAAGTCCTAGAGGCTTCAGTACAACATGTTTACACGGCATCTTGAAATAGGATTTCTATCAACCGATGTTACTAAATCTCATAATAATGCTTGTGCCATTTCTGTAGAACCAGTATATTAATGCTGAATCTTTCGGAAAGAGGATTGGCATTATTAAACCGGATTCATTGTGCCGTGGAAACACTTACTTTAGGCGATGTAATAATGAGTTACATGAAAATTCCGTAATGCGTCAGAAAGTTGATTTTATTTTAAAATGATATGTAATTGAACCTCACAGCTTGGTTGGCTCAATTAGGAAAAGAGAAGTGATGGATGAAACCAAAATGGAAAAGATTTAGGTTGATCAATCATTTTTCCATTCAGTAGAACCTATGCAAAAAATATGCCAAATTTAAGAACATCTAGTCAAATGTGTTGTTTTGGCAACTATGGTAGTTATGGTCTGGTTTTATAAAAGTAGAGATGTAGTTATTCTTGATCCGTGTAAATACTTTCAAGATCGTGGGTGTTGGAACCTCATTTGTAAATTAGGGTTAATAGTACGGGAGAGGTTTATGCGCCCATGTCAAGACGGAGGTTGTTGTACTTATAATTCTATCAGTTTTCATACAAATAAATTTTATTCATACCAGACCTGCCGTATAACCCGAAACTTTGAATCTTTATTTGGTATGTGTGGGATAATCAACCGTGGGTGGTCCTTTTCCTTCTACTGCTGTTGACAACAGTTTTTTTGGTTCGAACTGCATTGCCGTACACTCTACAGCTTGAACAGTGTTTTGTGTAGCGATGATGAAGCACCGATGACTAATGAAATTTCCTCAGACGTTTAAAACTAGTGGGTTAGAATGAGTCAGTGATAACTTTTGCCTGATGTGAGAGATAATTCAAAAAGGGCTCAATCCAATATTATTATCCTTTTCGAAGGATAAATGATAACTGGGCTTTATTAGATATCACCAACGGAGTCTCTGGAATACCAGAGGAGTCGCTGGAAGCTCCATTGATGTGGTACACCTTTCTTCACTTATGAAAACTGTGGACCACGAGTGAAAACAGATAGTTAGAATGTTTCAAAAGCAATAGTGATATTAGGAAAAGATCCCCGCAAGGAGTGAAAGGAAGACTGGTTGAAAAGTGAGTTATCAATTAGTCGAGGTGGATAACCACTTTATATGAACAATTAGGATAGTTCATGAAGCTTAGGTGTGCGCAAGGTGGAATGACTGGTGGGCACAACTTTGTTCTTCATTCCTAAGACCAGGTTGATCTTTCACTTCTAATATTGAAAGTACTGAAAGTGAAGAAATCTTCCAAGCGGCCGGTTTTCGAATACCACGTAGATACCAGAGTAGATATTGTCATCCCTTCCTATAAGTTGAGTATTGAAAAATGGAACACTGTAGTTGCCATCCTCATTTTTGACGTTGAATCGTAAGGGTTGATAATAGTTATTGATTACTTGGAGACATTCCTCGATTCCATTTCGCGGAACACTTAAAATAATGTCACCTATTTTTTTTTCAAAAGAGGGAAATAAACTTTCTCTATTCATAGTACAGTATCTATGATTTGGTCACAACATTCATATTTATACATCCATATTGTAACGTCAAATTTTAATTCCTGTTATTTCACTAATAGTACCTTCGAAGACCTTATTCTTGAGGTCACTTGAGTTTGCTATAACGAAAGCTTCCTGTACTAAACACATTTTTTTCAAACCCCAAACAGCTTGTTAACAGTTTGAACACTATCTATCGAAAATATCTTATTAATGATAACTGCTATCGATTTGAAATTTTCACCATTTTATTAAGAATGCATAGCCATATTAAGAATGCATAGCTATATTAAGAATGCATAGCCACATTAAAATATATAAAGGAACGCAAAAATTCGATTTGGCCGAAAATTTGTTTCAGCTCCCGGAATACCCAGAAATCTGAACTTGTCGGATCCAGAAACCGATGACGGCTCTAAAAACGTTACAAAATTCATCAGATGGGACATGCCCTGTGCTCCGAATGACCAAGTCAGTAAATATTCCGTTCAACTAAATGGAACCTATACAGAGGACGAATCTCAGACTGATTTCAGAGAACATGTATTCAAAGTAGATTCGAAACAAGAACATTTCAATGAAACTCTCGAAGGATTGAATCCTTCCACTACGTATGTATTAAAGATCAACGCTATGGGGAGCCATTCACAAGAAGGGATGTTCGAAAATTATACGTTCACAACGAGAGATGCAAGTAAGTTATTCAATGAATGAGTTTTGTCAACAAAAAAAACGCATTCTTTATGCTTTGTTTCAAGCAAAACTTGGCAATCAATGTAATTCAGTAACGAAGGTGTGATAAAAAAATTCAGAATTTTAGAGGATATTTTCATCCACTTACGGGCAGCACTTTGGTCTCCCAATTTCTTATGGCTAAGTGGTCAATGATACATCAGTTGAAAGGTCTCTGATTCCTCAATCACCTTTCAAAATTCGGATTGAATTATTCAAGTAACACTTTACTATGAGATTTTGATTGGACAGTTTACAAAACCTCAACATGTGTTTCGCTGTACGATAGCTTCCTCGGGGGTGTTCATACTGACTAATTTTTACCTAATTAGTGCTTTATATAACAGTTTTTATATGTCCTTCTACGTACTCAACGAATAATAATTTTTCCTGGGTTTAAGTAACAAGCAGCATACAAAAATAGAGAAATAATCGAGATCTTTTTTTAAACGCTTCATAAATTCCAGTTGTAACATGACATAAAACCAAATTTCATTTCAGAACGAATTTATTTTTTTCCAAGATAATCAATTCAGTATTTTTTGAATACTTTCGCTACTTTTGAAATCAATAGTATCCGAAGATTATTTTTTAATTATTCAAAACCTTCTGCTACATATAATGGTTTTAATAATCCTATTTTGAATGTACTGCGATATTTACCTACTTCTATCATTAAGTATATAGATTGAATGAGTGCATGAGTGGTACTTCCACTCACTAATTAGAGAGAACAAAATCTAATATACTATATAATTGTTTTAATATCTCGAAAGTTATACTATCATTACCAGTAGTTTTTTCGGTGTCAAGGGGAATGATGTTTATAATTTTATTCATTTCTAGAGAAAATTGAGAAATGATAATATTGATTGGGCTCGTTTCATCATAGGGATATTGAACACGCTCCTTAAATATTAGATACCAAATTTAACTGCTCCAAACAAATTTTAAGTAACTTTATATTTCAGTTCCTGACGTACCCGTTTTAAGTGAAACGAATATCGTCGTCTCCAACAATAGCGTTACCGTCTTTTGGGATGCCCCGAAGGAAAATTCTGGGAAAATTAGCTACTACACAATCAAATTCGTCCCAGTTGCACCTTTATACTCCATCCCGGAGGATTGTCCTAGCATCAACAATACTGGGACAGAGCTGAACGTTAGCAGGACGAACTTTCATGAGTTTTCTGCCTATCCCTACTATAATTATACTGCGGCGGTTGCAGCTGCTACCAAGAGGGGATTGGGTGACTTTGCAACAGTATCTGTAAGANCATACCAGGTCTGTTCAAATGAAGTGAATGTTCAAATTGTGTCAGAAAAATGTTTACAAGTAGTAAAAACTCTTCACAAAAGATTCAAAAGATGTGAATGACTACGCTCGCTCTGGGCGCCTCAGCACATCAGTATCTGATGAAAATGTAGAGAAAGTTAAGGAAATTGTTATGGAGAATCGTCGAATCAATATTAGAGAAGTTGCTGAGGATGTCGGCATGAAACGTGTTGCAGCAAAGTTTGTTAAAAAAACTGCTGAATAATGACCAAAAAACCGTTGCATGAGCATCGCTCAGGAATTATTAAATGACGTCAACGGCGATCCAGATTTCCTCGAAAGGATCATAACTGGTGACGAATCATGTGTATATAATGCATTTCTTTAATGTCACCCTCCCTTTTATTTTTTGAACGGGTCAACTCAAAAAATTGAAATTTGGGATAATGAAATTAATGCATGAATACTTTATTTTGAAGTGAAATTGACAGATGAAACTTTCAAGATGGTGACTGGGCGCCATCTGGAAAAAAAATTAAATGAAAAGGGGGGTCTTGTGACACACATTAATATCGATCTTTCTAAAAATATTCTTTTTTATCTGCCATATAGTAATTCCAACAACCCGATAAGGTTTGTTAAGTTATTTTTTGTTTATAAAAACGACAAAAAAATTTCAGTACGACATTGAACATCATTGTTCAGTTAGAATATTCTCATTTTTCAGTTTTCGGTTTTACTAGTAGAAAGGTACCACGTCAACAATCTCTAAAATGGTCTCTGGTGCCTCAGCTATACTTGTTTTCTTATAAAAGTCAGTTAGTTTGGCGCATGTTTGGCAATACAGTCGATCATCACCTGTTAAAATTCCCATTTTCACGTGATTTAACAATAAACTTTGCACGGACTGGTTATTAATCATATCAGGAAACGCCAGTTGAAGTTCCAGAAATTTAAATACGTTTTTGCTACCTCTTGAACATTTACTACAAAGTGATCAGGTGAGGATTTTTCCAGCAAAAAATTTACAAACACAAAACGAGATAGACTGTATGGAATCATTCAATCCAGAGCAGTCAGGAGTATTGCTTCTGCTATTTTTTGCTCACAAAGAGTATTCGACAAGAACCCCAAGAATTCGGAACAATCCTCTTGTTGTCCTAACGATTATCTAGTGGATTTCAAAGATTCCAGTTTCTTACTAAACTGCAGCTGCACGAACAGCTGTTTGAGTTTGGTGAATAAGTAGGAAACATTATTGTTCTCGTTCATCGTTAAAACCTCGTTCTTGACATTCTTTGTCATGAATAACCCTTGTAAAATGCTATTCATGTAGCAAGTGTTTTCTAATAAATTATCTAATCCAATTTCCTTCTCAAGATTTTCAGGACAACTCTCTACTGATTCGTAAGAAAGAACATGTTTCACAGAATCTGCATAAGAACCATTTCTCAAGCAGCAATCGATCCTTCCAAGTGATGAAGGGTTTCGTAGAGGAATATTTCTGATTTATTTCTAACATTAATTTGGTAATATTGGTGAAAGTGTTGATGTATAAATGTACTTGTAAATTTTTTTGTTATTGTTCCTCTATATACAATGAATATTTCTTAGCATTGATAAAAGTCAATCATTTGACGTATCAATATGAAAATAAATAACAATATAACTATTATTGTAATATATGATGGTTATTTTGAAGTTGAGAAAATTTTTGTAAATTCTGGGGATGGACTGGCCCAGTTGAGAAAAAATATCTGTAAAATATCTGTATCTAAATATATAGCAAAGTTTATTGAAACAATTATTATATAATTTATAATATGTTTCTTGAATGTATTCAGTGAACCAATGTATTTTTTCAGTTCCAGATAAAATCCGATCTCTGACCATTTCAAGTGTCACCAAGACTCAAGAGAAGTACGACTCGGTCGCCACAGTAAATTTCAAACGACCTTGTTTTACTAATGGTCCTTTGCAAAAAATTAAAATATTCTACACTGGGGTGAGGGCTACTTTTGATGAAATCATCATAGAAGACTCCATCTCTTTTACCGAAAATCCAAATGTGGAATATCTATTCGCTTTGGCACCTGAGTACAGTTATTTGGGCGGTATAACAGCTGACAATGGAGAATTTTCGAATACCCAGAAGTTTGATTTTACAGCGCCATCAGGAGGTGAGTGAGTTTTCTCTAATTTTCAACTAGTGTATAATTTTTTATCAACCAGAAATTTGTTCAATTATGATAATGAATATGAAATTAATTTTTGTGGAGAAAATCAAAGTTTTTCATCGACCTTCTTTGGTTATTTTCTCCTTCCATCATCTGAAAAATATGAGAACTGTAATGGTAAACTCAACTCCTTTAACATCTGTCGCGGAAGGTTGAAAAACAAAGATAATCGACGAAGAAGAAACTGAAACATACACTTATATTTTTTTTTCTGAAAACGGAACCAGATGATGTCACCGAAACATTAACATAAGTATCTCTATAGTTTCTTAGCTCTTTTTTTGATAGGCAAGATAGACAAGTTACTGATAAGTAGAACAATTTTATTGGTGATTTTTTGTTTGTAATTCACGCAGTAACTTATCGGGGTGAAGTAAACAGTTTGCCTTTCTACTTCAATTTTCATATTTTTCAAATTATGGAAAGTGTTTTATATGATTTTTGGGAGAAGGTTAATTAAAACTACTCTACTACTTCAAGTCTAGATAGCAACTGTTTATTTCCGGCAGTCCACCTCTTGACGTGTGTCAGTCAGAGAACAATAACTTGTGACTCCTATTTTACATGTCACTAACATCCCCTTTATTTTGGATGTCCTTTTCCCAGAACTATTAAACATATATATGTATATATAAGATATGGTATAAACTCATAACATTGAAATCTTAACATTCTTTACAGTTTTGTAAATCCATAACAACATTAATTGCAATCAAAATATACAGACACAATTATAATCTAGTTTTGTAACATTATGTTTATAATCCCCGTGACCCAAATAAAAGCAAAAGTTTTTGAGACCAACATTATGTACTCATTGCCTAATCCAAGAACACCTCAATAACACTTCCTTTTTGTAGTATATGTGCCTACTTCTTACTTACAGTTTGCTACTCAATACCTAATTTCTCTAATCACTATGTGTGACATAATCTCTATATCTACAGGGTTATTTAATTACACGACCCGTTCTTGTTCTCATGCAGGGCGAACTACTTTCCTCTCCTTTCTCACTGGTGAGTGATTCGTTTGGTATGCTAATAAAAGAACTGCTACTAGCGTCACTACCTATACTTTTCTTTTTCTTAACATCGAGATTATCATCTCTGCTAAGATTAAAACTATTTACATCATCTAAGTTGCTATTAGATACTTCATTACCACCTTCTTTGCTATGAGTCAAATCAAATAACTCATCATTCCCTGAACTATTTTCTACTACTTTCAGAAAAATTCTTTGTTGTATATTACCCTCTTTTAGCCAATTTTGATTATATATATTTTTTGATGTGTGAGAACTCCTCTCTATCTGTTTTAATGGTTTAATAAATTTACGATTTCGTCTAACTGTGCAATTGTTTTCTAACTTTATNAGAAAATCTTGTAATCCCAAACCAACATGCCAATAACTCTTTCTCTATTTGGGAATATCTCCTCTGAGTTTCTGTTAGAGCTCTTGATGCATGAGCACAAGGCTTTTCTTTTTCCAATGAAATGGATGCCATCACTACTCTACTACTTCAAGTCTAGATAGCAACTGTTTATTTCCGGCAGTCCACCTCTTGACGTGTGTCAGTCAGAAAACAATAACTTGTGACTCCTATTTTACAGGTCACTAACAGAAAGTGAAAATACCCAAAGAATGTCTAAAACGTAATGACTCTTTTTTACATGGAACTTTTTTCAAATACGAGGCGCCTATTCAAATTTAAGTCTAGGTATATATGCATAGGGATCTCGTATACGATAATTAGGTTAATTTATTTTTCAGGTACGATACCAAAAAATTTTTCTGGCTGTTTTGGTTTCTGTATATGTTTCGATTCACTGTCCAACTTAAACCACCCTCAACTTTGGAATTTAAAATTTAGGTAATTTAATGATCACCAAGTAAATTATTTTCTTTCGTTTCGACCCTGATGATCCCTCAAGTGTAACAACCGAATCATTGTTCCCAGCGCTATTCTGTTGATTCTGATTAAATACCACCATATATGTTGTTTAGACCTTTCGATAATTTTTTTTATAGTATAACGCAAATGACAATTTCCTTTCAGAATAGCGACGTAGTAGTCCATTTTCTCCAAACTAAATATGGAGACACTATTATACATATTTATATATTGTCCAACAATATTAAAAAACGAAATATGTTCAGTTTCAAATAAAAATTCAGGAATTGAAATTTTTCACTAATTTACGTACGTAGGTAGGTACTCTTCATTAATTTTTTAATGCTATATTTTACTTCATTTATTTCGAAAATTTTAGTAGCAAAAGATATTTTGTTATCTTCAATTTTAAAGTGTACTTCTTGTACTACAAAAAAAAGCAAAGATACTATACATTTTCCTGTGCCAATGAAAAAGGATAATATATTTTTATACAAGTAGGAAACTTTGAAACTTTCACTGGCACAGAAATCGCAGAGTGTCTGGCATTTTTTGTTGTACAAGAGATACACTATAATGTTGAAGTTTTAAAAATGCCTACCACTTTCCATAATTTTTTATGAGATATATAAAGAAAAAATTGACATTAAAAAAATAATACGTACATGAACCGGAAGAAAATTCATTCTTGAATTATTAATAAAATACTGAACAAATTTCGTCTTTTGTTTCTACACCAAGTTTTTGACAATATTTTCATTGATGACATCATATCGCGTCACTGGGACAAAATGACACCTGCGCCGCCATTATTTTGAAAGGAAATGGCTACTTGTGAGTTATATATTCTATCAAATGGTCTATAAAAAATACATGGTTCTACATGAAATGTTTAGCTTAAGTTCCTTCACGTTTAACTGAAATAGGTTTTCTGTGGATCATTTTTTTCTTATTATCTCCAAGAGAGTTAGGTATCCCAGGCGACTTATAGAAAAAACAGAATTTTACCAATGAGGTCCATAAAATCGTGTTGGTTTTCCTTCAAAACAATGGTGAAACATGTTCGGATATAACAAAAAAAGTGTTTTTAATTGTTTTGAAGACGGTCATTTTGCGGTGTATAGAATCTGAATCTCACCAAATTTTGGCTAAGTACAGTGAGTCTCACTTCTCATGAAAACACCCCCGTATCTTCCGTAATATTCGAGGTAGAACGAAAAAACTCTCAAGACTGATGAAAATTCTCAAAATGCACCTACCACCTGAATGGGGTTGGCCAAAGTGATATACACTGTCCGCCACTCGCGATGGAACACCCCATTTTTACGGTAAATTTTATAAAATTAATTTTTTGTTCCTTCATAAAAGGTGAATTTGTTCTTGTAAGTTTTATATTCTGTAAGGAAAATAATATTATTCAATTCCTTTTGGATTCTTATATACAAATCATTTTTTCTCTTTAGCAAAAATTATTAGTTCAGGTGATATCAAATCTCATGTTTCGTGTTCATAACTTTTGACTCTTATGATATTTGAACTTTTATCAACATTTTTCTCAATTCTTTTTTTATATCATAGCTATTTTTTCAGAATCATGAATGTTACAAAAATCATCACAGGTATATAAAAAAAGCTGATGAGTGTACGGGACTGGATCAGAAAATCGGTCAATAAGAAATCATCTTTATAAAGCAGCCGTCTGAATAAAGAACCGATGAACTTCTTCAACACATCAGATATTGGCTCATAATATACTCATCGGCAGAAATATTAAATAGTAAATTAGGTGAAACTTATACGGAGGACAAATCAGCTAACAGTGCTGATCACAAAAAACCCAACAGTGAATTTTCAGAACATGAAAATACTTAAAATGAGATCAACTTTTCTCTGATAATAGATAGTATTGTAGTTCTGATATGCCTAGTGCACGTCTATCCTTAGAATATCGCATATAAATTGAAACCCTTTGCACGAGCAGGGTTAGTGCCAGTGAAATACCTACTCATATAGCTAGAGAACTTGTTTTTATTCAAAGCACAGTATCTAGGGTAATCACGTAGTTCACTAAACTATATCCATCCAACAAACAAAGTAAGCCAAACAAAGATAGATGCTTGAACAAAGCATGATCACTATGCACATTTGCATCTATTCGGTAAAATAAACAAGCCTCCTTACGCTGATCTATCAGATTTAACTGCAATTGGCTGGAGAAATTCATTGTTACAGTGTTGGAGTGGTCGGTTACGTTTCAACGCCTGTGGTGTGTAGTTATACGGTATATCAAAGTTTAACATTTTTAGAATGTCTGACACGGCTGAATAAACTGCTAATATATGTCCCTACACTCCACCTGAAAAGTATTCCTATACCCAGCCGAATATTATTAAAAAAATCGGTCGTTCCTTAGAGCGACTCTGTACAAGCAGCCTTGTCCGGGGAACACTGCACTATGCATGAACATTTTTTGGAGCACTCTGGACAGAATATAAATGTGGCTAAGTTCACGAAATGCACAAACGCGGCCGGAGAAATTGGACAAAACAAGGTCAAGAACGATACCTGTTGCAGTATGCACATAGGAATGAATCCCTTGGAAACTCCATAAGACTATGGAAGACATTTTCGAAGAACGTATGGACTCCATTTTCCAAAATGTACTATTCGGTGGTGGTTTATTATCTATAGGTAGGTACGCGTTTTTTGGGCACCAAGAATAAATGCCGTGTACAGACGGATACGTTTAAACTAGGACAGGATATCGGTATCGATTCAATTTACCACTGTGAGGCGGTATCATTAATGGAAGACGAACACCACTGATTATTATTATACCCAGGACAACCACGGGTCAATATTACATTCAAAACATTATTTTAGGTGTAGTTCATCTATTTCGAGGCGTCATAGATGATTGGATAGTTATATACCTAACTTATCAGACATAAATTATTCTGGAAAAGAAGTGCCAAACGTTTCGTCTACTACTGCGGCAGACCTCATCAGTGGTATATGCGTTGACTGCGAGGACGGAGGTTACATCACGAA